TATATATATATATATATATATATATATATATATATATATATGTATATATAAAAACAAGAGCAGCAGATGCTGCAGCACCAACAGCTAGCGATTGGTGACGTCAGCAGCAACAGTCACAGCAGCAGCACCCCATCGCCAGCACCAGCAGCAGAGGCACAATTTCCAGCAGCAGAAGCAGTGCTGAAGTAACCATCAGCAGCAGCAGCAGCAGCAGCAGCAGCAGCAGCAGCGGGAAGAAGTTCTTGCCTTCGAACAGGTACGGGTGGTTGCAGGCCTTTCTCAGCTGCACAGCCAAATTGCGGAGCTGCGAGCGGCCGCAGCCCTCGCCGCCCTGCAGCGCCGCCACGTTCTTCGTCAGCAGGTCGCGGTACAAGGTACGCTGCATGTCTGCAGCAGCAGCAGCAGCAGCAGCAGCAGCAGCAAGAGCAGCAGCAGCAGCAAGAGCAGCAACAACAGCAACAATAAAACGCGGTACACAGGCTGCTGCAGGTCTGCACCAGCGCCAACATGCCGCCATACACAATATGGTGAATCTCTGCGGCAGCAGTAGCAGCAGCAGCAGCAGCAGCAGCAGTAGCAGCAGCAGTAGCAGCAGCAGTAGCAGCAGCAGCAGCAGCATCAGGCAGCTAGACGGCTGCCTTACAGAAACTGCAGCTACAGCAGCAGTGGAAGGCATAACAAGCCCGGTAGCAGCTAAGTGCTTAGGGTTTAGGGTTTAGTGTTTAGGGTTTAGGGTTTAGGGTTTAGGGTTTAGGGTTTTTGAAGCACCCGAAAGCGGCACGAAGCAAATGACTTCTTTCTTTGGCGGCATCTCCTGCAGCACGTCTTTCTTTACACGCCTGCAGCAGCAGCAACAGCGGTGGCAACAGCAGCAGCAGCTGCTGCAGCAGCAGCAGCAGCAAAACTAACGCGAGAAGGCCCAAACAGAAGCAGGAGCACCCAGAGGGGGCGCACCAACAGCAGCCGCAGCAGCAGCACAAGCCGTATCATAAGCAGCAACAGCAACAGCAACAGCAACAGCAGAAGCAACAGCAGCAAAAGCAGCAGCAGCAGCAGCAACATTCGCAGCTCGAGCAGCAGGATGGAGAGCACCATCATCGCCATCACCACCACCACCGTCACCACCGCAAGAATAATAATAAAAAGAAGAAAGAGAAGCAAAAGAAAAAGAAGAAAAAGAAAAAGAAAGAGAAAAAGAAAAGGAAAGAGAAAAAGAAAAAGAAGAAAGAGAAAAAGAAAGAGGAGAAAAAGAAGAAAGAGAAAAGGAAAAAGAAAGAGAAAAAGAAGAAAGAGAAAAAGAAGAAAAAGAAAGAGAAAAAGAAGAAAGAGAAAAAGAAGAAAAAGAAAGAGAAGAAAAAGAAAAAGAAAGAGAAAAAGAAATAGAAGAAAAAGAAGAAAAAGAAAAAGAAAGAGCCGTTGCTCTGACCTGAGCATGAAGGGTCTGAGTATTCTGTGTAGTCTGTGTACGATGGCGAGGTTTCTTTCTTCTATTTGTTGGGGTGTCAGTGCGACGCCTTCTTCGTCTGTCGCCGCACTCAAATCAAAAAGAGATAAAAAATCATCGCCAGACTCAAACAGCTGCGGCAGCAGAAAGTGCAGCAACGCCCACAGCTCTCTCAGGTTGTTCTGCAGCAAACACACACAGCAGCAGCAGCAGCAGCAGCAGCAGCAGCAGCAGCAGCAGCAGCAGCAGCAGTGAATATATCCATAGCCATACGCGGTTGCTGTTGTGGTTATTGCTTGTTTCTGCTGCTGATGCTGCAGCAGCAGAACCATGCAGCAGCAGCAGCAGCAACAGCAGCAAAGAAGGGCAGCACCGAAGCGGGACCCTGTGGGCTGTATCTACACAGCAGCAAGTAGACGCTATCCTCATTCTTCTGTTCAAATATATAGGCCTATACTGCTCCTGCTACTACTACTGCTGCTGCTGCTGCTGCTTGTGCTGCTGCTGCTGCTTGTGCTGCTGCTGCTGCTTGTGCTGCTGCTGCTGCTTGTGCTGCTGCTGCTGCTGTTGCTGCTGCTGCTGCTGCTGCTGCTACTCCCCCTGTGAAGAGCTACCTGCAGCGGCGTCCCCGTCAGCAGCAGCCGGTGGTTAGATGAAAATTGACGAACGGTAGTGGCCAGCTTCCCTGCAGCAGCAGCAACAATAACAACAGCAGTATCAGTAGCAGCAGTAGCAGTAGCAGCAGCAGCAGCAGCAGCAACAGCAGCAGCAGCAACAACAACAAACGCAGCAGCCAAAGCGCCATGCGTGGCTGCCCGTGGCAGAACCAGCAGCCGCAGCAGCAGCAACAGAAACTCCTGCAGCAACAGCAATAGGATCAGGAGTAGCAGCAGCAGCAGTAGCATCACCAGCAGCAGCAGCAGCAGCAGCAGCAGCAGCAGTATGTTTCTTGCCTGCTTCGTTTTTTATTCTGTGTGCTTCGTCTATGATGATGTATTGCCAGAGGATTTGGCCGAGGATGTTTTTCTCCGCCATCAGCATTTCGTATGAAGCCACAACCACGTTCACTGTATCGGGGATGGGTTCTTCCTCTTCCCCCTCCTGCTGCTGCTGCTGCTGCTGCTGCTGCTGCTGCTGTTGCTGCTGCTGTTGCTGGGATGCTTCTTCGTCTTCTTCTTCCTCCGCAGCATCATCGTCATCCTTCTGCTGCTGCTTGCTGCCGTTGTTTCTCTCCAGCACCGGGCTCTGTGTCCTGTTTCTACCTGCTGCTGCTGCTGCTTGTCTGTGCTGCTGCTGCTGCTTCCGGCTATGGTGCTGCTGCTGCGTCTCCTTAATCAGCTTGCATGCACCTAAGAGGTGCTGCAGCAGTTTCTTTCTTTTCTCCTTCTCCCCCAGTATCTTCACCGCACCCAAAGAAGGACAAAAACGACGCAACTCAGACATCCAGTTACCTGCAGCAACAGCAACAGCAACAGCAGCAGCAGCAGCAACAGCAGCAGCAACGGCAGCTGTAAGCGAAGGAAACAACGAATCAGGGGAAAGAGAACACGCGATAAAGCATAAATACAAACACAGTGAAAGCAGGCGACAGCAGACAGGAAGGTGTGCTGCTGAAGCAGCAACAGGCTAGTTGTGCTGCTGCTGCTGC